CTGGCTACTTCTTCCCCTGCTAACCTTCTACCATGTTCCTCATTTAACAAATTTTCAAAATTGTTCTTCCATATCTCCTTAATCTCTTCATCCTACACTTAATCATATGAACAAAAAAATTATGTTGCCATTTTTTCATACTGAAATCTATATTTACCTTATTTATTCTTGTGTTTTCACATCATCTGTATTAATTTCAGTTAATTTAGGCTTATTAAAAAAAGACCAGCATAATCATATCAAAATTATGAAATTTACTATATTTTGACACTTCAATAATGTAACAATGATTATACTTTTTGCCTTAGATATCAATAATTTAACAATGTACCATATACTTTTGTATGCTTTTTGCTTTTCATATCAATAATGTGATACATTCACCTCATGAGACTAATCCTATTTTCTCTTAAAAAATAATAGGAAAGTAAAATAAGAATCTTGTTAAGAAGATTTGAAAGTGTCATGTAATCTTTATTGTATTTATTTATATAATGTATAATTATTTTAAAATTTTTAATGTATATTTTAAAAACACACGTTAATAAAATTCATTAAAATAATACTATAATTACCGCATTTGATATACTATCTCAACCAAATTGTTATAGGTATTGGACCTGCCATTACTCTTATTTTAGGAAAATAACAGTCAGTTTATTAGTTCTCATTTGGAGTATCGTTATATCTTATCAATTTTTTTTATTATTTTATATATGTGAAGATATTATTTAATATCTTATTAATTTTTACTATGTTTAAACAATGAAATATAGAGTGAAATTTGTCCCTGCACAATGAAATTTCACTGTGCGTCTTAATGAAATGGAATTTGACTTTCTAGACATAGTAAGCCTTTAAATAAAGGTTAAAAATTGCAAAAATGAGAATCAAATGCAAAAATTGTGTACTTAATTTCAAATTTATGTCTAAAAATTTCAATTGAGGGCTCTAAATATGACAACTTTTGAATAATTTTTTTGCTTTAAAATAAAGTTTTACTTCACCAGGAGAGTTGTTGGAAAAAATATCGGCGATTAGTGGCGGTCATCGATAATTTTTTTTTTGTTTTAAAGTAAAGTTTTACTTCACCAGAAGAGTTGTTGAAGAAAATATCTGCGATTAGTGGGGGTCATCGAAAAATCATAAGGCCAGTGATTTTAGTAATGCTGTGTTTGGTAGGTAAAATGTGAATAAAATATAACTATATTTCACTTAGTTTTACACATTTTTTTTGTTCCCTTCCTTTTTCCAAATCTCTCTCCAAATCTTCTTACCAAACACAAGGGCGCGGGTCGGTTGCAGCTACGGAACCTCCAATCCGCCATCCGTTCGTCAAATTGGCGGATTGAAGAAAATCAATCCGCATCTGTCCACCAATCCGGTGGATGTGGATTGAGCGGATTGGCGGTTTAGCGGATGAATACGAATCGGTTTGGCGGTTTAAAATTTTATAAATTTTCAACATAATTCAACTTGTGCACTTCCTCAAAAAAAGAAGAAGAAGAAAGTATTACAGTTAATGACTTAAAAAAATATTACAATCACTGCATGTCTCATCCAAAGCAAGAAAGTTTGAAACTTTAGAATATCACAATCACTGCATACTTCATCCACTTACTATAATCACAGCATGTCTCATCCACATAAAGTATTACGAGGGGTGCTCGTGGTTTGGCAGTTCGGTTGCGGCCAAAGAAATCTCAAATCCGTCATCCATCCGCCAGATTGGCGGATTGGAGAAAATCAATCCGCAACCGTCCGCTCATCATCACGCATCCGTCCAAAATGCGGCGGATCAGTTCGGTTCGGTCGGTTTTGGCGGATCTGTATATCCGCTGCTCACCCCTAAAAGTAAGGGCAGTTTTGTGCAGAAAATATTTAGTGTCCTTGAACAAAACTTCTTTAGTTGCTCTTAAACTAGTACAATCTATTAATTAGGGATGTAGAAAGAAGAAAAAAAAAACCCTCATTTTTATCTCATTATAAACTAACATAAAATCTTAACTATGCTCGATTTGAAACAAAGTATCAAAAATATATTTTAAAATTAAACAATAACAATATATATATATATATATAAATCTGTAGCATCAAACTAATTTTAATTATTTTCATTTGAATTGCATTTAAATATATTTTTTGTTGCACATCCATTAATGTCGTGTTTTAAGTATTACACAGCAAATGTGTGCCGTAACACATTTGGTAAGAATAAAAGAAAAAAAAAGTCTAAATTATCACCCAAAAAATAAAAATCTTAGGTTCTATTTGGTTAGAAGATTTGACGAGAGAAAGAAAGATAGAAAGAAAATGACAAAAAATTGATAGGATTCGAATTCCAAATTATATTTGGTTGAGTTGGGAATTGGAGGGAAAAAAAAAGAGCCTACATAAACCCAAAAGATAAAAAGTGAGATTGCATTTCACTCTCACTTCCTTTTTTCTTATGTCTTCCATCATAACAAACAAAAAGTGAGATTGCATTTCTTTTTCCCTTTTCATTTCTCTCATCAAACTTTCTAACCAAATACAGTCTTACAATTACAGTTTGCTATGTCACCCAACAAACTTCAATATGTGGTGGATTATAATTAAGAAAAATCCCAAACATTAATATGTATTAATGATTTACCATAACTATAAGATTGTGCTCGGTTGGAAGATTTGATAAGAGAAACAACAATGAAAAAAAAAATGTAAGTTCACTTTTTGTTTGGTTATAATGGAAAACACAAGGGAAAACAAAGTGAAAGAGAAATACAATTCTAGTTTTTATCTTTTGGGTTCACTTAGAGCTTGTTTGGCATGAACTAAAATGCATACTTCTTTACTCTTTTTTTTTTTTTTATATCTTTTTGGAATCATATTACTTCTCCACTTTTATACACATATTTTCATAATAAGTAAAAAAACATACTAATCTAATACATCCCAAACATCCCCTTAGATGATTTTCTTTTTCCATTTTCCAACTCAATCAAACATAGGCGCTGTTTGGGATTCCGAAAATTAGGCTATTATAGCCTCATTTGATTTTTTAGCCCAAAAGCAACATTGTGCATGGATTTTCAAAAAAAAAAAAAGAAAAAAAGAAAAGGAAAATAGGCTGCTGCCGGACAGTGTTGGCACAGCCGGACAGTGTTGCAGCAAGGGCGAAATTACCATTTTGCCCCTTTATATCAATTTTAAAAAATAAAAAGTTAGGGATAAATCTGTCATTTTAAATTTAAACATCATTTCAACACACTTTTCAATACAATAACTCAACTAAAAAATCATCTCATCTTCCCAAACACAAAAACTAAAATAGCCACTAAAATAGCCAAAAAGCCAAATAGCCTACTAAAATAGCCACTTCCCAAACGAGGCCAATGAATATTACACTAATTTGATAAAATTATTAATACATTCACTATTACTTTTGTGAATCAAACGTGGCCTACGAGAATAGTCAAAAAGTAATTTACGTGGAAATGAAGTAGGGCATGCAATGTTCCTAATCAATGTTCTGCCCGTTTCCATCTCTATTCTCAATCACATACACCTTGTATCACCCATATTTACAAAGTTTAAAAACAAAAACAAGATGACCTCTACGATCACAAAAATAAAGAAAAAAAAAGGGCACAATTTGAATTTTTTTTGGCACTAATAAGTTTTAGTTGAAATATACAGAGCTGGAATATAATTTATACGAAAAGGTTTCCAACTGAAAGTAAAAATTTTGTCTAGAAAGATCAGTTTATCTAAAGACAAAGCAAGTAGCCAATAAAGTAGTTTTCTAAGAAGGTGTAGAAGAAACATGAAAGAGGAAACACTGAGAAGCAAAAAAAAGGGAACAAAAATTTCACAAGGATGCTGTCTGATCTGATGATCTGATCAGGTTCTTAACGTGCGATTGTCTCCATCTTTATTCACAAATCTTTCACTCTCTTTATCTATATATGAAAAAAAAAAGCACATCAAGTTTTCACTTTATGCTACTTATATATATGTTCTTTGCTGGTTTTACTATGGTTTCTTTTTAACATTTTAGTAGCTACGTCCGTTTGGCTTTGTAAATTGTAATTAATGGTTTTATTTTTAAAAGAATAAAAGGACAAACAAAGGGGCTCAATACATTAGTCCAATCACCCCTAAGAAGGAAAAAAAACAGCCACAAACCACCTAAAGAGGCAGTCAAAGCACGTAAGACCAAAACCAGGTCTGGTCGGCAACAACCAGAGCCTTGGCAGGGATAAAGAAGGCCTGCCGCGGTGAAGACAAGGAAGGAGAGGGGCTGCGGAGGCTGGGTTGAGGCTGTCGGAGGGAGAAAAGGAGTTGGAAAGGGTTGTCGGAGGCTGGGTGAAGGCTGGGAAGGGCTGTCAAAGGGAGAAAAAGAGCTGAAAAGGGCTGTCGGAGGTTGTGTGAAGGTTGGGAAGGGCTGTTCGAGGCTAGAGAGAGGAAAGTAGGTAGTTGGTGATGATGGGTGGTTGAGAGAGAGACGGCTAGGGAGGTTCTGATACGAAAAAGAATGAAAAGAATTATTTGACATACCAATCAATGAGATAGAGGCCATGTACATATAATATATTCATGATACAATTTAGGAAACAATATACACAAAGCATGATTCCTACAATCAAAATAATTCCTATTCTAATTCCTATATGCAGACATAATATTTTGATTCCTATATTCAACATCACTTTCATTGTTAAAGTTATTGTAGCCTCCATTTTTATTTGTATTGCTCATCAAAGAAAGCATTAAGTTGAAAGGAACAGCTGAACATACAATGTAGAGCAATCATGGTCTGCATGTTTGCCTTTCTCAGCTCATCAAAGTTACACTAGTATCTGGTTTCCCTTTCATGCTCAGAGTGGATGTAAAATGTATCCATTTGGCTCATTCACTTGGCAGGCTTGGTTCATCAATAGGTTGATCATCTGTTGGCTGGTTTAGTTAGGTTGATAATGCATTCATTAGATGCACATTTTTGGCATCAAGGATTGTAAAGTTGATTTTTTGTATGTCATACTGGATGTTTTTGGTTCCTTGTAAATTTAATAAATTTTTGCAGTTTTCTTGCAGGGTACTGAGATGACTGTCTCGGTAACAGGAGCTACAGGTTTTATAGGTAGAAGACTGGTACAAAGGCTGCATGCAGGTTATGGTTATTCCATATAATCGTAATTTTATCAAATTAAACCATAATATAATTATTTTGTGGTTGTATGACAATCCATGAAATTCAGTGGATCCATTTTGGTCAAGTTCATTATGATGGCGTGAGTTACATTATTTTGTTTTTTAGTAATTAATTTTATTAGATGAACATCAAAAGGGGATGCTACCTATGCACAAAACGAAGCCTAAAGCTGTCGTGAACCTAAAAAATAACTAATAATAAAGGCCTTTGCATAAGACTCAAAGGTCAGCCTATACGTTTCTTACTTATCAAGAGCATCCACAAGATTTAAAAATTGATCTAGATTATGGAGCACCCTACTTAAATTCCAACTACACAAAATAGCCAGAAATGAGCTTCTTTCATTTGAATCTTCTCTCAATCTGTACAACAACTCCTCAACTCTTTGAAGTGTCCTCTTTTTTCTCTCTCCAAAGAATCCACATCAACACACAACGGGGCCAAAAGCTAAGCCTTTTATCCTACGTTTCCCCACCCTACCTCTCCAACACCTTGGATGACCCCCACGACATTACTAAGGAACACCTAATCAATCCCAAACATATCCAAATGAATACCTGATGTTCCCTAGCCATGTTACAATGGATGAGAAGGTGAGATATGGACTTCCCATCTTGCTTGCAAAGGCAACACTAATATCTATTATGCCTCCCCCTGCATGTAATCTGCTTCAGAAGCCTCTTAAGGGAAGGTCTTCTTCAACAAATCTTCCCCACCATCAATGTTTGCCAGACTTTTCATGCTGTCTCCCTTTCCCACATTAAAATCAGAACACCCCGCAAAATCATCCCAAACTTGACGAATGCCCTATATGATTTTCTTTTAAAATTTGCTTTTAATGTTCTCTGATGCAATGGTAATTTTGAATTGAAGCTACAGACATTCATGCCTTCTGGCATTTAACCATTATGTGTTCACTTTTATTACCTTTGGAATGCAGATAATCATAGAGTTCGTGTTTTGACGCGATCTAGATCTAAAGCTCAAGTAATTTTTCCGGGTAAGAAGGTAATGATTACATTTGTTTGCATAAATCCTTACAAGATGTTAGCATGTGACATTAGTGATATAGTGGAGCAAAACTATATCTGATTTTGCCTTCTGACAAAATGATGATGATAATCAGATTTGCTATACGCAGAGTACATTTGGTCTCATTTATCTTGCATTGCAGTGTGTTATTTCTCAACTTCCACAACATATATATTTTCTTTTATTTATTTTTGAAGTTTTAAAACTGTTATTTTTCGTGTTAACACAATAACATAGGTTTTTTTTTTTTTTTTCGTGTTATTTTTCATCATTTCCTTCTTCTGTGTCCTTGCAATTATAGTCAGGGACTTTCCAGGAATTGTGATTGCAGAGGAGCCAGAGTGGAAAGATTGTATTCAAGGTTCAAATGCTGTTGTAAATTTGGCTGGAATGCCCATAAGTACAAGATGGTCTCCTGAGGTTAGCATTTCAAGCTTATTTGATTTTTAAATTGTGCTCTCTATGCCACAAGCGAGTCGTAGCTTTGACCAGACCTGTTTACTGTATACAAAGTTTGCTTTTATATTATTATTACTATTTTTTTGGAGCTATGCGCTATATATACTTTTGTAGCTCTTTTCTTGGGTCTGTTAACATATGATCTGGCATCAGTTTCTGTCTTGATCATACAAAATTTTGGGGCTTCAGTGACAATTCCCAGCTGGACTTGCAATCTTCAAGGTGGATGTGAAGTATTGTTCATCATGTTGATAGTTTCACGGTCTAAAACATATTGTATAACAGTATATACCAGGGTTATTACTTGATGTTGCTAAGCATATGGAGGAAATTTTATTTGTGAGACTGCAAATAGCCAGTCAGTCGTACAAGATGCATGCCTACACTTATTGTCATTGGTATCTTTATGGTTTAGTCTATTGACATACTCCAAAAATGATGTTTATCTTGCCTATTAACCAAATTATGTTGTGCATTTTCTGGATACCACTTGATAGGGCAATGTATTTTAATTTTATTTTATACTTAAATTTGAATGAACATCCCCCACCGTGAAAGGTTACGATGAACATGATTTTGACCTGATTGTTAGGATGCTGAAAATTTTGAATGTACTTGCACAAGTAAGATTGTAATGCATCAAAATCCATTGAGCATGTCCGTCTTTTCTACTAGATCACATAGTTTTTTGTTTTTTATTTGTTTGGAAACCATATATATTTATTGACTTCTTATGTACTGCAGATCAAGAAAGAGATCAAGGATAGCAGGATAAGAGTAACCTCAAAGGTCACCATCAAGATTTTCTCGTCTCTCTACGTACTGAAAAAAGACAAAATTACGTTCTTGTTACTTTGAAAGATCATTACAATCTCAGCCGCAATGATTGCTTATATTTTCGCTATACTGGTTTGTCACAACGAGAATTTTAATTCATTATGAAGGTTGTAGATTTGATAAATGGCTCACAAGATGACGTTCGACCTACAGTTTTGGTTAGTGCAACGGCATTGGGTTATTATGGTATGTGTTTAAAAACATCATTTCCTACTCATATATTCATTTGGCTGTCAATTGAAATGACACATTTAATGTTCGTCATACACCAATCGGTCTATTTAAGAAGTGCCCCTGTACATTGGCTTAAGTGGTTGAGAATAGTGGTAAAGTTGGAAAAGCCCTAGTTTCAGTTCTTATTGCTCAAACTTTTAATTTATCTTTTGCTTTTTTAAATGAATCAGGGTTCATATTAAAAGAAGGGCAAATTGGGCGAGTTCTGATCCAAAACAAAATTTTATAAATGGAGAACTGTTTATTATTATTATGTTAACTACTGAGAAAAAGGAGTAAAAAAAGCTAATAGCACATGTGATGGAATCAAACTCTCTGATTGAGACCTAAACCGGTTTTCTTTACCTTCAGTGTAAATATCTGATAAGAACATTGTGGTTCAATAATGCAATTGATTGCTTTCTGTTGGCTTTATATTTTTCCCTCTTCTGATATTGTTGAAGCTATATTTACATTGAATAAGCACCTTTAGCTTCACCGAATCTGATAAATTTTGCTTTTGCATTTTACAAATGTTCAGGCTCTAGTGAAACAAGAGTATTTGATGAGCAAAGTCCATCAGGAAATGATTACTTGGCTGAGGTAAAACAAATGATTTATCTTAGAGTTTGTTTGGTTGGATGTATTTCAAATCAAGGATTTGAGGTTGAATTTTATAAAAATATTGAAAAACTACCTATTATAGATGGATAGAAAAACTGGAAAAGATGTATTTAGTAGAAACTTTGTAGCTGAAGGGAGAATTCTTTACATGATTTCAAATAACTACTTTTGCATAGGTATTTCAAATCCATCATGAGAAAGCTCTTTAACATAATCTTGAAATACTGACGTAAACTATCATATCTAAATTTGCGCTATTCTTCTTGTTTTCTCCCTTGCTTGATAAAATGCCAAATCCACAAATACAAACGGAGCCTTAGTCTTGCACTTTTGGTGTGTTTGATCTTGCATTTTATCAACACAATATCTCTTGCCAGGTTTGTAGAGAATGGGAAGCGTCAGCCCTCAGGGTCAACAAGAATGTTAGGTTAGCACTTATTCGCATTGGTGTGGTCCTTGGTAAAGATGGTGGTGCTCTAGGTATGATTTTGTTTTGTCTTCCGAGTCCCTTTTCTTCATTTTGGGCTTGCAAAGTCAACTTCACAATGATGTCTTTTTATTCGTATATTTTGGGACATGATATTCACACTGCTTTTAGTCTCTTACACTCCCCTTGTGAGAGACAAGATGACAAAAATGGAGTGTGAGAGGCTAAAGATTGTCAACTTAAAAGATCCATATGGCAAATTTAGATTTATATCTCCTCAAATGCTCTAAATAAATGGAAGGAAACCACAAAAATAATTAGATGACATTCATCTCTAGTTGTTATCTAATTAAGAATCCTAAAAAGTGCTGCTACAATTGTTTGGTTGAATCTGCTCAGAATCACCAAAGCATACATATTTTAAATTTTTGATACTTTTAAAATTACTCAATTTGCATTTTTTAGTCTCCCCTAAACAAATTGTTCTTTTCTTTGATCCTGTGCAGCCAAAATGATCCCTCTGTTCATGATGTTTGCTGGTGGACCTTTGGGTTCTGGGAGACAATGGTATTACACTTAATTTCTGTTGTCCCTAGGATTTGTTACACAATCTTGTATGCTACACAAGTTACTTGGAATTCATTCTCAAAAAGCAGCACATTTATTTCCAAAATGGTGACCAAAAACTTTACAATGTCATTTTTTCCTTTGTTTCTTTTGATTCTCAACAATCTGGTGAAGATATTTAGGCATTTATTGATGTTGATTTAAACTTGGTCCTAATATATTTGTTACACTTGTCCTAATTTCAGAAATTCATTCTGCTTGTTAATGTAAAATGTAAATTGTGTAAATTACCACACCACCCACTCCACCTACCACCTCCACTACCACCACCCACTAACCCAAACCCTCTCCTATATAATGCCACTCTGATTTGTAATACAATATATCAATACAACAATCTTGTGATCAATCAATATAATATACATCAGTTTATTTTACATGGTATCAGAGCAAGGTTAAGCACTTAGTATTTTTGCTTCACCGGCGGGCGGCAACCTCGCCTTGGCCGCCCGCCGGACCTCAACCTAGTCCGCTAGAATTTTCTACACATACCTTTAAATCTTTGTCCACCAATACATTCAGCTTTCCCTCCTGGTGAAGCCTTTTCACCCAATCAAGCATTACTCCTCTCTGGTTCTGGTTTTCTGCTCGACCAAACTCCAAAGCCTTCTTGCCTGTAATTAGCTCGAGGAGCAAGATTCCAAACCCAAACACATCAGTTTTCTCTGATGATTACCCGGTTGACAAATACTCGGGAGCAATGTGACACTGGAACCTTCTCGCGCTCAATCTCGTCCAATTTTTGGATGAGCCTTCAAGTAGATATCAATGGCTCTGTAAAGATCATCATCAACCTTCCTAGCTCCCTTGGGCACCAGATTCGCAATTCCATTGAACTTCGAGATGCTCAACTCACCATACGTAGAGACCTCACCGAGGAACGCATCAACCGTCTTCCCTACCCTCTGCATCGCCGTCGAACACACCTCCCTGAAATCCCCGTCAAGGATTTATTCTCGATGGTTTCTTCTCGCTGGTTTCCCTCGAACTATAAGACAGGCGGAAATTTTCGCGGGAGTGATGGACCTTGACCTCGTAGTCCAGTGACCTAACCTCCCAAATCTTCCCTCTAACCAGTTTCAAGTTTTACTTGAAGCTGTATGGGAATCTCTCTCTCACCCGAGCAACAAAGTCTCTCTCTCTCTTCCTTTTCATAAAGTGTTTTACACACCACCTCCACCCACGTGGGTTGATTTCACTTTTCCTCATCAATATATTCGCACTCATGTTCCCCACTCAATTGTTTACTCCATCTTTTGAAAAGCCACCACAACATCCGTCCACAACTTTCAATCTCCCATTTCTTTTTTTATTTTTTTTTTATTACTTTCACATTCACACACTTCTCTTCAATTTTCTTTTCTTTTATACTTTATTTATTTATTTATTTATTATTTTTTTTTTTAGTCTTCCATCCGCAAAAAAAAAAAAAAAAAAAAAAAAAAAAAAAAAAAAAAAACACAAACACAAACACAAACACAAACAAAAACAACGACTTTGTTTTCTTTTCTGCCGACGGCCACACACCGACATCCCTTCTCTACTCTGCCGCCGGTCTCTTCTTCTTGCCTCCGTCCTGCGCGGGCCTTGACGGTGTTGCCTCCGTGCTTCCTCGGCCACCAAGCAAGTTGCCTCCTGCCTGCTCCTCCACTGCAGTATATGGCGGCCCTCCAAAACGGAACATCACGGTGGCCTTCCGCTTCAGCTCTTTATTTTCTGCTTTTAGCACGCTCATCTCTGCTCGCGCATCCTTATACATGCGTTGGAGCAGAGCCAGCTGGGAGTTTAAATGCTGCACCTCATTTGTCCTACTCTGCAGCCGGTTCGACAAGTTTGTGACCGCCGTCATGCTTTCCACACATGCCTTCAAAGTATACTGATTGGCCTCCACATCCGACAGCACTGCCATTCTTTGCTCCACAGACCGCATCGGAAAGTTCAACGGAGTATACCCAGTGGTGTTTGGTTGAGGTTCACGGGACACCGCACCTGCTATCTCTCTTGTGGACTCGTTGAGGTCGGGAAAGAGAGTAAGTAGACCACGGGAAGACGAAGCCATTTTTTCTGGGCAACAGAGTGTTATAGAGAGTGTTACAGAGTATCTTCTCAGCAAAACCTTCTCAGCAAAACGAAGAGTTTTTCAGAGGATTTTCGCCAATTGTTTGTCTTCGCCTCTGCCTCAGCTCTGTCTTGGTTAAATAGCCAAGGCAGACCCGCGCATCCTGCGCCGCTCGGCGCTCGCCGACAACCTGGCACGCCTTTTCATGGCACGCCTTTTGATGCATTTGGGCCCGCCTTTTGATGGCACGCCTTTTGAGGGTGCAGGCACACCTTTTGCGGGCACGACTTTTGAGGGCTCGATATTTATATCCCTGTATATCTTTTGGGCAGCCTATATACACACTCATGCAGTGTCTTCTACACCGGTCAGCTTTATCAATCCATTTGTTTCAACCTCAAATAGGTTTCTATCTTCACATCTATTTGAGTTTGAGGGGGGGTTATACCAGTATCAGGTATAAGTCGCTCATGGCGCACTCCCTAAGTCGCCCCCTTGGTGCACCACCACAAAGTTCTACATCGGTCCGACATGACCCCGTAAACTGTTCATGTTCAAGCCACCTCATGGCGCACTCCCTAAGTCGCCCCCTTGGTGCACCACCACAGTCTTCTACAACGGTCCGACATGACCCCATAAACTGTCTTTTCCAACGGTCCGACATGACCCCGTAAACTGTCTTCAACATCGGTCCGACATGACCCCGTAAACTGTCTTCTCCAACGGTCCGACATGACCCCGTAAAATGTCTTCAACAACGGTCCGACATGACCCCGTAAACTGTCTGCTCCAACGGTCCGACATGACCTCATAAACTGTCTTCTACATCGGTCTGACACGACCACACAGTGTCTGCTTCAACGGTCCGACATGACCCCGTAAACTGTCTGCTACAACGGTCTGACACGACCATACCGTGTCTCCTATCCTGTTTTATTTTATTTATCAGTTTATTTTTCTGTTTTGTAACTCTCTCCAAACTCAAGTTGGTTTGTGTCTAACCTCCTTGAGTTTGAGGGGGGCTGTTAATGTACACTAAACCTAACCCACTACCCTAACCCACTACATTCACTCCACTAAACCTAACACACTTACCATCTCCACTACCACCCACCACCTCCACTACCATCCACTACCACCACTCACTAACCCAAACCCTCTCCTATATAATGCCACTCTGATTTGTAATATAATAAATTAACACAACAATCTTGTAATACATAAATCAATTAATAATACATAAATTCTTACACCCTTGGATAATTTTCTTTTTCCATTTTCCAACTCAATCAAACATAGTATGAAATTCGAATCTTATCAATTTTTTCTCCTTTCTTTCTATTTTCTCTTCCCTTTCCATTTTATTCACCAAATCCTTCAACCAAACAGAGCTTACGTGACCTCCACCTCCTTTAGATCGATTCCCACTTCTTTCTACTTTTTTTTAAGCCAACTTTAGCCATTTTTTCTAATGCATGTAACTTAGCCAATCTCGTAGCTTCCAAGCGCTCGTACTTTGCCTCTAATCCAATTCCTATTGGCCAATATGAACTCCTTTTCTCTATTTCTTCTTGATCCATCACTACACCTCTTTCTATATTTCATTTCTCCTTTAATCAAACCGACTTCTTTGTACCCATTCCTTCACTTTTAAATATTTTCCATACTATCAAACTCCCTTGTACGTTTTTCTCTTGTCATACTTTCTCTTCTTTATATTTTTATTCCGCTTGTTTTCAGAATTAGATTGAGTGAGATTGTTAATAAGAGAATTATCCTCTAGAGTAAAATTTTCCTAAAATTTCCTAAAGTGCTACATTATGTGGTTGAGATTTACTGGCAAGTCACATCAGAAAAATTGATGTGACTTGTCAGTAAATTTCAACCACACAATGTACCACTTTAGGAAACTTTAGGGAAAAATCACTCTAGAGGATCCTTGGTGTTTTATTCCGCTTGTTTTCAGAATTAGATTGAGTGAGATTGTTAATAAGAGAATTATGAGTAAAGAAACTAAGAAAAATTATATTTGATTGTGATATATTTTGGCGAGCGAATTAACTATATAAAATACCACAAAAATCCTTTGGTATTTTTGATATATTTTAATATTAAAAATTATATTTTATAAATATTTTTAGTATTATATTATTTTAATAGTTATATATATAATGATGTAATACCAAAAAAAAACCACACACACAAACGCACAGCATGAGCAAACTAGTTTTTTTCCAAGCTAATCCCCTCATTAATTTTGAAATCCAACCCTTGAAGGCCTTTATTAATGCCCCTCCTCCAAGACCCATAGTCCCAAAGGACTACCAATCTCAAGCTCCACTTTGCAAACAAACATAATTTTTAACACTCTCAACTCACTAATTTGGCAAGTTGGTTTGTGGCTAAAATAGCTACAAAAAATAAAATAGGCTATTTTAGCCACAACAAATAAAATATCACATCCAACTTATAATCATTAGACTCTTTTCTCACAAAAAAAGTTAAAAAAGTCAAAAAGTCTTTTCCCAAACTAAGTTTTTTAGCCCAGACTAAAATAATTCAAAAAGTTAAAAAGTCAACCCACTCCCCAAACGGAGGCTAATAGTCTAATCCCAAGTCCCTACCTCTAAAACTAAGCTGGCATTACTTTTTATGAGTGATTGAAAAAGATTTGGGCTCTAGGAAAAATTAAAATCTATGTAGAGAGAGACTAATCCATGAGAATATATGTAGTTTGTCTTGTTTGTCCATAGATTAAAATAATAAAAAAAAGTCCTGCGGTGCGGGTGGTGGCTAGTGTTGAGTGGTAAAAAAAAAAAAAACTCAAACGGAAACACATTTTTTGGCTAAATTTATAAACTGAGACCACTGATTTATAAATCAAAAATTTTACCAAACAAGTTTTTATTTGAGTTTTTTAAATATTTGTAAATATAAACAGAAAACTGAACACGTAAGTGTTATCAAACGGCACCTAAGTGTTACCAAACGGCACCTTAGTTAGAGATGTGGACTATAGAGAAAGGAGAAAAAAAAAAAAAGCATTTAATTTAATTTTTTATTT